CGGGAACATTGTTTGCTGACACGTCTCACACGTGCGTACATAGGTCCTGACCCACTTATACATCTTTGACCACCAGTATATCGAGCTCACCGAGCCATAGGTCTTCTCCCGACCTAAGTACCCGCCCACGGGCGTATCATGAACCTTATAGAGGGTTCGATACTTCCGATCTGCATCATAACGAACGACTACACGAGGGTTATCCTCAGAGTCGGTGATGTAGTACAGCAGGCTGCCATCGAGCGAGTACCGATGCAGCCACGCGCGTAAGCGCCCAGACAATTCCTTGTCAGAGTCTTTAAACGCTTCGCTCCCAAAAGCCGTAACAGCGCTACGCACATGTCGTCCGGTGCATACGCTCCGCGTATCAAGTCAGGCACTGACGACGTCACTTTCGTGACATGAGCTATCTCGTAGTCCGGCCTGCGCGAGAGCGCATCGGCCACTACATTAAGCCGTCCCGGCTTGTAAGTCACCTCGAATTTGTACAATCTTGCCATTCTCTGAGAGAGATGAGGCGACTGTGTCGCAGTGCGTAGCGACGCATGGTCAGTAAAGATCACAAAGGCTTAGAGCCTAGCATACACTGAATTTGACTAGAGCATACTTCATTGCGAACAGCACTTTGACATAAACTGGATAGTTATTCTCTGCAGCTTTGAACTGGCGAGACTCAAACGTAATCACGCGCTCACGCCCTTCGGCGTCTGCTTGTAGTAAAGCACAACCGATTGCAAAATCGAAGGCGTCACAGACGACGCTAAACGGACGATCTGGGTCCGGTAGCGCAAGGATCGGCGCCTGGAGGAGGCTCTCCTTCACAGCCTCAAAGGCTCCGTCTCGCTCGACGTTCCAGCACCATGGTGTGTCCTTCTTAAGGAGATCTGATAAAGGCCGAGCCATTTCCGCGTAGTTCGCGCTGTACTTGTGCAAGTAATTGGCTAAGCCTAGCCTCTTGCGTAAGTCTTTTTGGTTCTTGGGAACCGGCCAGTCCACGATGGCCTTGACTTTGGCAGGATCTGTCCGTAAGTCACGCTTCTCCATGAAGTACCCGAGGAAAGGTATCTCCTCTGCGCCAAAGATGCACTGGTCCAAGTTGGCATACAACTTATTAGTGCGCATGCACTCGAGCACCGCTCGCAAGTGGTCAATGTGGTTCTCCACGTCTGACTTTCCGTGCTCAGCACGGCTATGGACGAATATATCGTCAAAGTACGTCTGAGCGTACGCCCGGTGGGCCTAAACAACTGCGTCACAAGCCGATTGAACGTTACTGGTGTGTTCAACAGCCCCTGGGGCATGGCCAGCCACTCCCCGAGCATACCGCTCGGAGTACTCACCGCTGTCAGCGGAATGTCGCTCGCTCGCATGAGCTATTGGTAGTCACCATGACGCAGGTCGAGTGAGCTCTACAACGTAAAGCCTACCATGTTGTTCTGCAGAACATCCTTGCGAAAACTCGGCGTTTGCGCCGGGATGGTGGCCGCATTTAGCTTTTTATAAGCATAAACAATGCGCCATTTGCCGCTCGGCTTTCTGACATACAACGTGGGTATCGAGTGCGGAGACTTACTCTCACACACCACCCCTGCCTCGTGCTTCGCACAGAAGAATGCGTCAATGACGTCACGTTGCTATCTTGGCAAATGCTATTGCCTTGTTACGCAGTATTTGGTTCCAGGAACCAGGTCAATCTCATGACACACGCCTCGTCCCGGAGGCAGGCCCGTCGGTAAGTCTTTCGAGACAACGTCTCCACATTCCTTCACCACAGGGTAGAAGGGATCCGAAGGATCTTTTAGGACCGCCGATCTGCTTCTTGCGCTCAGCGCCTTCTTGGCGTCCTTTTGGACCGCATCGTTCACGACGGGTGAGGAGTTCAACTCCTCCTCAGGTCCCATCAGGACCACCTCGGCTAGCTCGCCTGCCTCCAAGGCTTCGCCAAACTCGGCAATGGACATCTCGTCCAGCTCTAGTATCTACAGCGGTCAAAGTTTCAAGGCTGATGTCGCCTTCGACCTCCCCCGTCACCCTATTGAAGAGTGTGTATAGCTGTTCACAGCAATCACGTGGAGCCTCGCCGCTCGCCACGTTGGACACCTCGCCCGATGTCGAAGACGTCACAGACGCCCTGCGGCTTCTTCTTCTCTCCCTCCGCGACCGATCCCGGCCGGATGAGGGCGGTGTGGCGACATTTCCATCACCACCACCGGGTGCGGCAACACCATCACTCCTCGAAGAGGAGACAGTGTCTCGCAAGACACTCGGCTGAGAGCCAAGAGGTCCTTGGTCTTCACACAGTGAACTAGGTGTCACTTCACCTGCATCGCCTGGGCCACGCCCATGATGCCTCGATTCTTGTTCACGACCTCCTGCGCTATGTCGGTCTGGTCTGGCTGCACAGCAGCATCTGCTCTCTGCGCCGATGAGGCTGGGTCGACTACCGAGGCGCTTGGGGTTCTTGGCGGCATTGGTGCGTGCTGGCGCCGGTGGCGCTGTAGACTGGGAAGTCTTTGGCGGCCTGGTCTCCACAGCGGGGCCGGTACGGCTTCAGTACTCGCTGGGTTCGGACTTGTGTCTGCTCCGCTGATAATTCTCATATGATCTTTCGTTGGTAAAGTGAACTTCTCCAACGGGAGCGTTCTGAGAGCTTTCCCATCGGTCAGGTGTGTCATGACGGACCCTAATTTGGACCAACGGCGTGTCGAGTTGCTACTGGACTCTTGGGCTTGAGACTTACGACGTCACAGCGGTTACCCCCTCGGCTGTAGACTGTAGCTGCAACCCGGACGCTCTCGAGCTTCGCGCGCTCCTTGCTGGGCTTCCAGCATCCCTTCTTGGGCTAATGACATGCGTAATCGTCTCTCCACAGTGGCCTCATGTAGCTACCATATATGGGATACTTATGTAACACGGTGAAGAGCAGGGACGAAAGTCTAGCAGGAAGAAATGCCGCGGTGCAGCTGCTTGCTGCACGCTGCGCAAGTTGACGACTGAGCAGCAGTGCCGACGGCCAAATTCGTAGTGTATCTGTAGGATTAGATTAGAATGGGGCGTGCAGCTTACCAGCCTGCGATCCGTAAAAGTGCGACTCAAGACGCGCGCGACACGCTCTAATGATATCTGCGCAGCAAATGGAGCTGGGGCGCGGCCCTGGCGCTTTCTCTCTACATGACAAAGAGCCCCCCCCCCAGACGTTCACAGACAACTTCACATCAAGTGGCAACAGCGTATATCCAAGCCTCCCCCAGACCGCACTGCTTGGAAATGAGCGGGTAATCACACTCAAGCCCTAGCCCGTCACCCAGGTTCGATAAGATTTCAATCCCGAGGGCTTCATCCAACACCCAACGCCGAGGTGTCCACCAGCTAGCTGATGTAAGTGGGAATCCTTCTGGTGCTGGTGCTTGTAAACATAATGACCACGAGCTTGCTAGCTCGTGCGAAGTTTTTGCTGGTGTCGGAGCACTTTCCGTCCATGCTGGAGCTGTTGGCAGTGGGAAACTCGCTGGTGCCGCTGTTTGTGGATACCGCGCTAGTGTCGAAGCTCAGCACGTGGTTTTTACTGGGGCGTACATGAAGACCTCGCTGGCGCTAGCGTACGCCAAGCTGGTTCTGGTGTTACGCGACAAGCACTCGATGGTGCCAGTGTAGTTTTCGCTGGGTTAAGCAGCTCATTGGTGCTGCTATACTCTAGCTCTCGCTTGTGCTGACTTACGTGAGCCCCGGTGCTGGTGCAAGGTTTTCAGTGGTGCAACCACGTGAAGTTTTCGCTGGTGTGGAGCTCGCATACGTGAAGCTTGGTTGGCATTGGTGTTCATGAAGTTCTCGCTGCTTTTAGCGCGTCTGGGGTACTCGCTGGTGCTGGTCTCGCTGCTGCTGCCTTACGACAGCCTGAATTATTGTTTGTGGTGGCACAAGTGAAACGTCAGCTGGTGCTCAAATAAACGCAGATGAAGATCGAGGTGCTAAGGACGAATAAAGAAGCAGTGTCGAGCCGAGTAAGTTCAAAATGAAGAAAGCTTCCACCAGGCAGAACGCACAATTCGATACCGTGTTTCATTGGCTTTACGGCTACTACAACCTTGAGCACTCGTACTCGTTGTCATACTCGCCAGCTGAGGGAATCTTTGCACAATCGGCATTGTGGCAAGGCGCTAGCCAGAGTCCACGCGCACGAGAAACCTTGCAGACTGGCAGTGAGCTCACTGAACCAATTGATCAGATATTAAACAGAAACAAAAGCTTTGACCAATTACATTCGTCCGTCGATCATTTGGCTATTTTGGGCCAGCTCCTGAGTAGCCGCGATGGGACAAATTTGAAAAAAAAAACATAGTATTTAATCGCCAAAATACAAGCGTCGGAGAATCTATCCACAACCAATCTGCTCCCGAGCACAGAACCGTAGATTTTTGTGCTCGTCCAACCAAGACAGAACATGCCAAACACATGCATTTACTGCATCAGCACACAGCAAATCATTTGACTCGACTTATGTAAAAATTTGACCTTCTGAGTGTCGCAACAAGACATAATCGACGATTAAAGGTCACTGCAGAAACGTGACTAGCCGCGCTTCGCGCCCCTTAGGCGCCTTCGCGGTTCGCTGCGCTCGCAATATGGAGATAGAACGTGCTGGAAAGTGTAGTGCTCGGCTCGCTGGTGAGCTCAGTGCTGGGCCCGCCTCGCACCCGCTCACCTTAGTTGGCGTCCGTAGCTATGGCAGCCACGTCGCCTAGCCCCGTGTGTGTTATCCCAGCGATGGGCGTGTGTTTCTACTATTTTCTGTCCAACTAACAAGTAAGTACGAGAGCAAGATCCTAACTCTAAATACTAAATAGATTTTACCTGATTCCGGGATCAAAATGGGTTCGAGGAAACTTTTTGTATCTGTAAAAACCGTGGGTTATTTTATTTTGTTATCCGTGCTAAAACAAATACAAATATAGTACTTTGTAGCAAGTTTAAAATTCCTGAGAGACTCCAACGGCGCCAAGATGGCCAGTGCCACCAAGAAGCGCGTGTCATACTTCTACCACCGTACGTCTGGCCCCCATCCGCCGTATCTGGCCTGTCTCCATGCACTAACCGCTCATCCTACCGCAGCCGAAGAAGGCCACTTCTATTATGGCCCGGGCCACCCCATGAAGCCCCACCGCATGAAACTGGCCCACCACCTCGTGGTCAATTACGATCTGTACCGCAAGATGGACATCTTCGTACGCAACAGATAGTTTGTGCCTGTATATGATATACGCAAGGTAGATGGCTGACTCCGCTCTACCATGAACTACCTTTCCAGGAGCCTCACATCGCGTCGGCCGAGGAGATCAAGGCCTTCCACGCTCCAGACTACATCGACTTTTTGCAGAGAATCAGTCCCAGTAACCAGAAGGATCTGACCTCTGAATTGCAAAAGTGTACGCATGTTACCCGCACATATTACAATCGAAGGACGATAACAAACTGAATTCTGGCGTGCAGACAACTTGGGCGAGCTGACGGACTGCCCCGTGTTCGACGGAATCTTCGATTTCTGTCAGATTTATTCTGGAGGCACATTAGACGCTGTGAGTCGCCTGAACCACGGACAGTGCGACATCGCTATTAACTGGGCGGGAGGACTGCATCATGCCAAGAAGTTGGAGGGCTCGGGATTCTGCTACGTGAACGACATCGTGCTGGGCATTCTGGAGCTGCTGAAGTACCATCCACGCGTGCTGTACATTGATATTGACGTGCATCATGGAGACGGAGTGGAGGAAGCCTTCTACGTCACCGACCGCGTCATGACGGTGTCGTTCCACAAGTACGGAGACTTTTTCCCGGGCACAGGAGACATCAAAGTAAGGTCATCAGTCACTGTATTTTTATATTGCGCAACAAATGCTCATTAAATGGCTATGTGCAGGATATTGGCACCAAGAACGGCAAATACTATGCGGTTAACTTCCCACTGCTGAGCGGTATGACCGACGAGAGCTACGAGAGCGTGTTTAAACCAGTGATCCAGAAGGTTATGGAGACGTTCTGCCCCTCAGCTGTGGTGCTGCAGTGTGGCGCCGACTCGCTCACAGGCGACCGACTGGGTTGCTTCAACGTCACTACACGAGGTAACGCCTCCCAGTCGCTATTGGTGATGGATGATCCATGTTTGTGCTAATCATTTATGCTGCTTAGGTCACGGTGAATGCGTCAAGTTCGTGAAAAGCTTCGGTCTGCCGATGCTCGTGCTAGGAGGAGGAGGCTACACAATCCGAAATGTATCGAGAGCATGGGCCTACGAGACGTCGATTCTGCTGGACGAAGAAGTGTCCAACAACATTCCGTACAACGACTACTTTGAGTTCTACGCACCGAATTTCAAGCTGCATCTGGAACCCGATCCAGATCTAGAAAACGCCAATTCCAGGGAATATCTGGACGAGTGCAAGTACGTTGACATAAAGGCAGCCATCTACTGCACTATCACGTCCTCCTACTAACCTGTGGGTTTCCACTTCTAGGTATAAAATCTTTGAGAATCTTCGTGCTCTAACTGGAGCCCCGAGTGTTCAGATGAGTCAAGCACCTCCCACGCACATGTTACGGGAAGAGGACGAAGACGCAGCAGACCCTGACGCACGAACCGACAATGACGGCAAGCGACAGCACGAGGCGGAATTCTATAGAGACGACAAGGACCAGCGCGGGAATGCAGACGACGTAGCAGATGCCAGCGTCAGTGCAGCCAACGGTTCTACTCAGGAGGAAGGAAAGGACAACACGGCGCCGGACGTCATCCCGATGGATGTGGTCTAGACTACAGGCCACGGGGAATGACAGCGACCCTCCCTCCCCCCTCCTTGTCCATTTTTCACTCCCTGATTTTATATGGACTGAACACTTGGTGCTCATATTCTGGCTGCTTTTTTCTATTTCGATTGCTGTTGCTGCAGTTTGCGTTGCTTGTCACGTTCAGCTTTCTCGATCTCGAAGCGCTTGAGATCCAGTCGCTGCAAGAACTCCTGCTTCTCAATGTAGCCATCTTTGGTGTAATGCGTGAGCTCGTCCTCGATGCCTTCCTTCTCCTTAAATTTGTCCCAGTCGAGCGACGATTTCTCCATCGTCGACACCTTTTTCGGCTCATCGAGCGACTCCAGCACCTTATCCAGCCCTTTCTTCTCCGTATTAGCAGCACTGGCAGTCGTGGAGACGCTGTACTTTTGACCAGCGAATTTGACCACTCGTTCCACCTTTTGTTGGGATGCGGCAAACTCTGTCAAGTCTTTTCTCGACTTCTTAACGTCCACACTGAGAATGGGGACGGAGAACTCGCGCAACTTTCGCTTCTTCTTCTTCTTATCGGCTGCACGCTTCGTCTTCCTGGTCAACCCACTCAGTAGATTTGTAGTCTTGTCTGCTGCAGTCTTGGACACGGCAGTGGACGCGTTAATGTCGTCCCAGAGTGTGTCCAGATGCGCGTCAGTCGTGGCGCTTCGCTGCTTGTCTGCAGCGTCGTCTGCTTCGATGACGTCGTCCTCCTCTTCCTCATCGACTAAGCGGTGTATCAATGGTTAGGACGTGCATCAGGAAGGGACTGGGAGGGCGAGGCAAGTGACGCACCTTCGGGGACGTAGTCTCCATCGTCTTCATTTGAGCTACTCATGGCAAAATAGTTTTCTTGTGTATTATTGATGTGGCAGCATCAATACTTTTTTGAGTGGACGTTTGTATGGGAGAGTTGTGAATTAACGGCATCTGTCCTACATGTCCTGCTTGCTGTTAAAGCAAATGGCTACACCCAGAAGAATGAGCACCATACCAGTGTACGTGGCTACAATGTGAGCGTAGTGGGTATTGGCGATATCACAAATTGAAAAAATATATGTTAGCGAGTTATGATATAATAGTTTCGAGATGGAAGACACCACTACAGGGTTTCGCAACGTACAGGCAGGGCGCTGGGGCTTCTCCCCAAGCAGACGACTCGTGATCGCCGTGAAGACGAATGTCAGCGAGTTGCAAATGGGTACAGCGTTCGAGATGTCTACCCAGCACCAAAAGAACAGCAAAAAATCAATAGGTACTGTAATCCCAGCAAAGATTTTTTGCTGTATAGATCATAGCTGTTGCTAGCAAGCCTAACCTGCCGAGCCAAGCAGGTAGACGTAGACAACAGATCCACTCTGGTTTAGAGCAAAAGGCAGCACAAACTGCAGTAGAGTCAACATCCCACAACTCTGTAACACCCCAGTATGAATATTTTCTCTGCAATGGACCCAAGCTCTCACCTGCCAGTTCTTCACGATACCCACAGCTTGCTTAGTGAACTCCCCGATGCTATTATCCTTCCGAGTGTACATGACGTCGTCGTTGCTTCCTGTTCATTCCAGAACACCCACACCACAGTATACGAGCAACTCCATCAGACCCTCTTTCAGACGCTGTCTCTTCAATTGACCCATCCCCAACATCCACCCTCACCTCGCTTGATCAGCGGGTTGGTGCATCCCCAGAGCGCACCGACAAACAGGAAGGACAGCAGCGTGGGCACTGTCGAGCTCATGCTGCACAGATCTGCCACGTGTAACGTCCTTGTTCCAACCGGTTATTATCGGTTTCTACATGACGACGCAGACGGCGGGAAAGTGGCAGGTGCAGTCGGACGACTATGGCAACATTTACTTCTACAACATCCTCACGGGCGAATCTGTGTGGGAATTACCCGACGAAGAGCCTGAAATTCCAGATGAGACCGACGACAGCCCACGCAAACCCCTCGACATCGAACAACCACGAGAGCACTACAGCGTCTACGCCATCGCAGTTGGCGTGGCGAATGTCATGGTGAATATTGTCGAAACTATGGAGAAAAATGGCGAACAAGTGAAAAAGTCAAAAGTTAAACGAAAATTCATGTCTCCCGCAGCGGAGAAGAGATTCTTGAAAAACGCAGCGAAGAAGAAACACCTTCGTGATGTCACAGTTACCACGTATATCAACTCGTTGATACCCATGAATGAGTCAGGAATACTCGAGAGTAAACAACTACGAGAAGTGGGCAGTTTGTTTACTGCCAAGGAATCTCAAAGATGGCTACAAGAACGTGATCACGACCGAGAAGTGAAGCGACGAGCCGTGAGAAGAGCTCGAAGACAACATCACGCGACAGTCGAGTCGAGACAAAGGCATCAGCACCTGTTGATCCAGTTTCGCTCCGATCTTCTGAAGTATTTGTTGGAGAAGATAAAGTGCAGTAGTGAGCTGCAGAAGCAACGGATTCTGCTGCTTACGACGCCCCAGATGCTGGCGGAGATGAAGGAAAAGAAACGTGAAATGCTCTTGAAACTGGAGCCGGAGATCGCGGAGAAGACGCTGGCCAGAGAGAGACTTAGCCAGCAGAATTATGAGAAGAATGTCCGTAAAGTATTCGCTACGATCGATGAAGCAGACACGGGCAAACTACACCTGCTTCAAATTCTTTTCGGCATCTTCTCGAAGGAGTACGTACTTCTAGTTCGAGTGGCAAAATAAACTATCTTTTAATAATTGCTTCCTTGTAGGAGGCCTCAGAAGTACGCGGCAAAAATACGAGGGCTAGCTGAGCTTCTGGGATCTCCCGAGTTGCAGCGATTCTTGATTGATTTTATGTCGCAGGCTAGCAGAAACGATGCGTCTGGTCCACATTTGGTCACTGTACGTGAGTTCCGAGAGTTTGTGAGTATAATTGAGGAAGTAATGGATCATTACGGAGGTGTTAAAGCTGCCGTTGAAGACGCTAAAAACGATATTGAAGCAGCTTTAGCAGCATCTTCTTCGGGTGGAGTGAGTCTAGCCCAAGCACGAATGGGCGCATTGTCAGAGAAGAAGATCAAGCATGAACAAGCCGTCTTGAAAGAGCATGAAGCGCAGCTAGAAGCTGCTCGACAGCGAGAAAAGAAGAAAGGTTTCGGGGTAGAACTGGAGAGTCTCGTGGCTCCCAAGGAAGAATGGGAGAAAAACCATCATCATCGAATGATTCGCTCGGAAGCGAGTGCTCCTGTGTATTGCTGCTTGTGTCGAAGGAGGAAATGGGAGTTGCGGAGAAGAGAACAAGAGGAAGTTGAGAGCGAATACCGCAGTCACTGGCCTACAACACTCGCGTTACGCGTGAAAGATGAAGAGCTGCGTTTTGCTAAAGAACGCGATAGAGAAAGTGGTATTCCAATCGAAGCAAGTGAGCCAGCTCAACTTCCAGATAAACCAGAGCAGGAGTCGAGCATCCTGAATAACAAATACGAGCTTGTTGGACTTGTAGGACAGACAGATACAACATTTCTGGCTGTTCGTGAAACCTTAGCTGCTCTTGTAAGGCTTGTCGAATCGGTAGCCATTGAGGAGTCCTCCGAGTGTGATAAGCCTCGACGAAGAGTTCACAAGAAGAAAGTTAGAAGATCACGTGGAAAACGAGTCGACGATCCGCCCACTACGGCAGTACTGGAGCGAGTAAATGTGTTTGAAAAAGAAGAACAAGAGCGGAAAACGATGTACACGGAGGAGCTTCACATGGTCATCATGTTAGAGCGCAATCGTCGGAGCTACGAGCGTCCACTGCTGCGTATCGAAGACGCTGCACACGACGCTTTTATTCGCTTGCTTGGGCGCTGTGTGAATCCTTCTGGATTTTTGCTGCGTCTCAACTTTGAGCGCTGTTTGGCTTTCTTCCCACCGCAGAGAATGGTTCTCGCAGTCTCTGATAATGGCGTCGAGGCAAAGAGACAATCGAACCGTCTTGCTCTTCACACTATCCCGTGTCGGACAGAGAAGATGGCGGATTATATTTTCACTCAAGTGACGACCATGCAGAAAACTCTGCGAAGTCCTTTTGTAGCTGAAGTGGTGGCAGTGGATAAGCACATGTTCCAATTGTTCTCGAATTTGGGTCTCCTTGTCGAGTGCTGTCCGGTTGTATTTGTCGTGACGGAGTATTTTGACCTTGGTAGCTGGTTGACTTATTATCACAGATATTTTATCAACGAGAATGTCAAATATTCGGAAACGGAACAACACTTACGGAACGTGTTCCGAGAGGTGGCATCCGGACTAGCAGCAATGCACACTCTAGATTTGCTGCATTTGAATTTAAACTTAGGAAACATCTACGTTTCGGATAGCCAAGAAGATGCTATCCACGTGAAGATCGGCGGACTATTATCATGGAAACACGACTTCGAAGCTGCCAACCTCCAAGTATCCAGCATGCACGATGTTTTCAACTACAGCTACATGCCTCCCGAAGTCGTCAAAGAAGCGCAGATCACTGCAAAAGCCGACGTCTGGATGCTCGGGTGTGCGTTATGTGACGCTCTATTCATGTGGCAACGACGACAACTGATCCTGTCGACTCCGAATCGTCCTGCCCAAACTATACAACCTCTCATCTTCCACGCCCAAAGCATCGGAGAACTCCTTCAAAGGCTCCCCATCGCTACCAGTTTGTCCATAAGATCACTCATTCGGATGCTACTACAACCAAATCCAACGCAACGACCGCAAATGAGTCAAATCGTTGATTTACTTTGCAGAAACAACGCACTTTAGGACTAATATTTTAAGACTTTCTTAAATTTTATGAGATAATCGTCAACGTCGGTTCCTGGCGTCGCGTCCGTTGCAACGAGTCGAAAGATATCGGCACAGCTCAACAAGATGATGCCAAAGGGCCATGCACAGCTGATGACGCTCAAGGAATTGTTCCAAGCAGCGCAGCATGACGATCTTGAAGCTGTTCGGGACTATCTTCAGGTCGTTCTCCACGACGAGATGGAATCCAACTCTCCGAGCGCGATCCAGGCGATCGTGGAGCCCAAAACCAACAACTCGCTACTGCACTACGCCTGTGACAACGGCAACTTGGACGCATGCAAATATTTACTCATGTGCGAAGGGTTCGCCCTGGCCTTCCTCAATGAGGTCAATTCTTTTGGACACACTCCTCTGTTCTACGCTGCGAGTAGTGGCAACCTCTCATTAGTCAAGTGGCTCGTCTCAAATGGAGCAGACATTGATACAGACTACAGTGATCGCAGTGATATCGTGCCTCGAGACGGAGATTTGGGGATCTTTACACCGCTACAGATCGCCTGCTTTCGGGGCCACGAAGGTGTCACCAACTTTTTGGTTGAATGCAATGCCGAACTCTCGGGCACCAGGAGAAACGGCAAGACGCCGCTCCACATCGCTAGTGCTCAGAACCACCCAGCGATCGTCAAGTTATTGATGGAAGCAGGGGCCGATGTTCACGCCTGTGACGAAGAAGGGAAAACGCCAGTGGATGTGGCTCATAGTGCTGTGTTGTCACTGCTACTCCCAGACGAATATGAAGTCCAACATGAGGACAACGACCTAGAAACAGGCTCAGGAGACCAGGACGACGACGAGTTTGAGGGTGATGACAAGACGAAGGGGATGGATAAAGTGAAAAGTGCGTTCGGATCGGAAATTGCGCGAGCGTTAAGGAGTAAAACCTGGAAGACTCGCGTCACTGCGGTCACGGACGCGGCCACGTGTTTCCAGAGTGACTTCACGAGGACAAACCTCTTGAACTTGTTCGATGGCGCGTGTTTCATGATGGAAATGGCCCTGCAAGATGCTGTTACGCAAGTGGCTTCCAGTTGCTGTACGTCGCTCCTGAAGACTGCGTTCAACGCGGTGATAAGTGACAAGGAATTCCACTCCAGAGCGTTCCACGAGGAACGTCCAGTAGCTCAACGTATTGCGAGTATTTTGCTGCTCCGAGGAGCAGGATCCAACGAGAAAGACTCGGGTGAAGCTGTGTCGTCGCTGCTCTATTTGATTTGTAAGAGCACAGACATCACACGGCATTTGACGCTTCAGATCTCCCAAATGATGACGTCGTCAGCCCGACCGCTGTCTCCCAGTCCACAGGGGTCGTCTGCGTCAAGTACGAGTGCATCGTGGCGTCACCAGCTCGTAGCGATCAAGATTCTCTCTGCAATTGCCAACCAGTATCGCTTGGACGAAAAGACGAGCGGATTGAGCTTTGCCTACGCGATGAAAACGAGTATGTTGTGTCTTGCGAACTCCAGTGTTCACGTCCGAACGGCATCGATCGACCTACTGGTCCACTGCCTCGTCATTCGATGCGAAGAATCAGGTAAAACAGAACACGTGGACTTTGCACTTGTCAGTCACTAATCTTTTCATATTCTTGTAGAAATCAAGGGCTCAAGTGAAGCGATCTACGAGCATACTAAGAATTGGTGCGAGTCGTTGTTCAAGCAGCAGAACCAACAGCTGAAGCCTTCGATACAAGCCAAGATCAACACTGGGTTGAAGAATGCTCTGCAGAAGAGTAAGCGGTTGTCGAACAGAGCGGACGAGTCATCAGATACTCATAACGGCGTAGAGAACGGCTATACTGCTGCGTTCGACGTCCCAAGTGCGACCATATCTCCGCGTAGTAAAGTATCTCAACGAGAAGATGACCTTCCGTATGCAGAGCCCATTCAAGACCAGAACAAGGACGTCGCAGGCGACATGTTGGATTGTTTTGGAGAGAAAGCTACGCGGTGTTTGTTCTCCAACGCTTGGGCTCCTCGAGTGGAGGCTTTGAGCTACTTGCAATACTTGGTGGAGACACGTCAACTCTCGTTTGAGAGCCAAAATGTAGGTCGTGGGACTCTCGTAAGTGCGACGCAGACGACGCTACTGCAGGCGTTGCAAGACCGCGTCAACTCGGTGTTTGAGGCTGGCGTTTTGCTGCTGATGGAGGTTTGTATCGCGCTCGAGAGTGCAGTGGCTTCTCCTTTAGATGTGGATGTAGTACACGACCTGGTACGTCCGTTGATCCCTCGACTACTGGTCAAACTCGGAGACTCCAAGAACCGACAACACGTCACTACCGAAGACGCCTTGTTGCTGTTATCCAGACAGACTTCGTGCATCGGTCCGGCGTTTCTACTGGAAGAAATGATCGCGTGCGACCGGAACTCGTCTCCGCCCACACTCTCGGCCACGTACTTAACCAACAAAATGGCTCTCGTATCGAAATTGCTGCTGGAATTCGGCATCATCGAGAGTTCTTCGGACAACAAGGGACTGTTACCAATCCGGAATGTACTGCAGTTAGCACTGCAAGTCAGCGAACACAAGGACCCCAAGGTGCGTCAAATGGCTCTACAAATTGTGGCCGACGCGATGCAAGTGGCGCGTAGTGCTGCCATGCCCTTTCTTGACGCCCTCGCGCGCGCTAGTCGACAGAAACTCATCTCCAAGCTGGTGGAACGAGGTGTGATGGAGTCCGATATGCTCATGGACGAGGTGGACGACTTCGAGATTCCCACCGAGACAGCTCGACCCGGAACGTCAGGGTCGATTCGTCCGCCTACTGCCTCCGGATCGTCGACGAAACACCGACCAGCACTTACGAATCCCTCGCTATCCGCGAACTCTGGGGCTCAATTGAGTAGTGCGACTCAGTATCAACCTGTTCAGCTTCCGTACGGAACAGCTCTGACAAGTGAGCAGAAGGAATCGTTCTCTAACATCATCCAAGGCTTTGGAGAAGAACTGGTGCGCTGTTTACTGGACAAGGCGTGGGCTCAACGGGAAGCTGCGATTCGAGAAGTCGAGCGCCAAGTTGTGTGTTGTGCCAGTGGTCGAGTGGCGGGTGATACGGCACTACCAAAGACTCTGGAGGCTCTTGGCATGTTGGCGCAGGTGCTCGAGCTTGGTCTTAACGACACCGTTGCTCGTGTTTTCCAATGTGCCTTGCGTCTGTTCCAAGTGATTGCTACCGAATTCTTACCTTTGGTGGCTTCCGAGCATCAGTATGTGGACCAAATACTGGAAAATGTGGTGGGGCTGGTGCTACAGAAGCTGGGAGATACCAAACAAAGACTTCGACAAGACTGCTTTACTCTCTTACACTCGATGGCGTCTCTAAGTCACGTTGGCCACGCTCGTATGTGTAAAATGCTGGCAGAAAAGTATCAGCAACTTGCGACTTCCTCGAACGCTGTAGCAGCATCTCCGCTGGTTATCGGAGAGTTGTTGAGGTTGTTCACGATGCTAGTGCGAGAGGCACCGACCGGTGCGACCCACGACCAACCAGATTTGTCTCTTATCTTGAGTATCGTCCGCTCCGCACTCGACAACAAACACGTCGATGTTCGCAATGCCGCTATAGCGACTTACGTGACAATGTACGAAGCCACAAACGGCGGCACGAACGCGTCGTACGGGGCAGTGGATCTCAACAGCTTCTTAGCTCAAGTGAAGCCTTCAATTCGAGAAACTATCACTCGCAGCGTAGTACAGATCACCAAGTTACTACCGACAAGTTCTCATAATAGAGAGAACAACGATAGCAGCCGACCCGAGACCGATAGCGCCAGGAAGCTCCAGAGACCACTAGGTGTCGATACGCACAAGCTCCAGCAGATTTGTACTGCTCAAATCACTGAGCTGCTCACTTCCCCCACGTGTAGTCCTGCTCAACGGTGTCGTGGTGTGAATAAACTGGTGGACTACCTCGTGGATTCTACATCTGGTCCGAATTCTAAAGGCGCATGGGAGACGTGCTGTCTTGTGGCCAAGCAGCTCACTCTAGACGCTGCACCTTCCGTCTGCTTGGCTGCCTTTGACCTGCTTCAACTGCTAATCGATCCGCCGTGTCCGAATGCTAGCTACGCCGTTCCGTGGGGAGAGTGGGGGGTGCATCTCGTACTGGGCTCCACGATCCGAAGTGTAGTACAGCAAAGCGCGAGTGAATGCGTCCGAGTCCGCTCGAAAGTGCGCGATATGTTGCGTCTTGTGGCGGGTAAGAGTGCTATTGGCAAGAATGCAGTTTGTAACGCTATCCTCAGTGCTCCAGAGCAAAGCGATACAGGGGAATGCATCGCGACACGGAAGATCGCCTTGACCAAACTACGCTGGCAATTGACGTTGCGACTGGAACTTCTGTATGAGTTTCTAATTGTTAGAGACAGTAGTGAAGGTGGAGCGACGTCCGGAAGACGCAAAGCGAGTGCGAAGTCGTCGTCGATGGAGCCATTAGGCTTGGACAACGTCGTGCCATTCCTCGGATCGTGTGTGACACATCCCAGTCCAATGGTGAAGACGGCGTCGATCCAGATCGTGCGGTTCTTGCGTGGCGTAAGAGAAAAAGAGCTCAATGCCTTTATCCAAGCGAGTTGCTCGCCTGCCTTACAGCGGAGACTGCAAACTCTCATGGCCCAAGCGGCTCAAAGTGAGGACGAGGGCAACAACGCCGATCACTTTGACGCAGACAGAGCGACCTGCGTACGTGGAAGTCGCGCGTCTCATGTACGGCGTGTTGCTGCCTTGAGACCTCCAAGGTCAGTGCCTGTGGAGGAGAAAGAGATGATGGCCGATGTGTTCCCGCCGCCGAATTCGGCTCCTGGAATGAGTCGACGAACCGCTGGAGACGACGATGACTCGATGGACGATGGGAATAACGTGGAATCAGGTCAGCAAAACAACTCGAAGCAGCAGCCAATTTGGCTTGAACAGCCCGGTTCGAGTGGATTAAGTAGGAAAGGTGATGACATGTTTGGGGCGATAACTTTCGACAACGGCGAGCCGGAGGGACCTGTGGTGGTTGGTGGAGGAGTGGCTGGACTGATGAAAGCGAGGAGGAAAACTGCGCTTCGTGGAAATAGTAGCAACAACGACGAAGTGAAGGAACGTTCTTGCAATGGAATCTACTGAGATAGAGGAGATCTAAAAACTGCAATCCAATGGAGGTGTTAGCCACATTACTGTTGACAAAATCGCTATCCCACTTGACAATACTACTGTTGGCTGCAGTTTATCATTCGACTGTGGCAGCATACTCTTCTCGTCTTTGTATGTCATTCTGTTTCTGCAGCACCCCCGTTAGCACCGTCCAGATCAAGAACCAGAAGGTGAAGTTTAATCGCGGGTTACCCAGCGCTTTTAGTGAAACTCGCTACCTCACTACAGAATCGACAACGAACCACGAGGATAATGAAGAAGTAAGACTGGGTGGGTCATGGCTTATCAAGTTGACATCCGCTTCTAAGAAAAACCGCGCTACCTTAAATAAGCTGGAATCGATGGAGAAGAATCAACGTTTCCGGCAGCAGCTAGTACAGGACCCAGCTTTGACTTAAGCAAAGCAATCCGTGGAGGATGACCCGGCTTTAGGAAATATCTGGTGAAGCAACCTTCATTGGAAGACGGAAAACTACATGTATCTCGACGGAGAATCCCGAGTCGCTTTAGCCGACGGCCTCAAATGAACCGTATTAACCCTTTAAGCACGGTGTTCTGTATTATACAGAATATGTAATATGACAGTGAGAAGTATGCTGCAAGCTAATATACGCGAATGGCGACAGCGATTCGGCGCATATAGGAGTTTGTATTTGTGGGGATGGAACATCTTATCATTTTGGATTAGAGACCGGGAGATAGACGGGTATTATTCCTCTGCAATAGAAAAGGCAATATAAAATGCCCAGAGGTTTCAAAATTCTAACTTCGTCCCGTCATCTTCTCGCCCACGCATTCGTCCATAGGTTTCAAAATTCTAACTTCATCCCATCTTCTCGCCCACCATTTCGTGAAATCGTCCAGAAATGACGGAGTGGATTGACCCAAAGGAGTTCAAGCGTTTATGGGCCTCTCTGATCAAGGCTGGATGGAAGGCAAGACCGCCGACAGGCCTGGACTCGGAGCACACCTATGTAAAACCAGGCGTGAAAGGTCGGCTTCGTAAGGACAAGGCAGGAGTGAAGTACTCTGTTGGTGCGTGTTGCCCGCCATAAACATGACTTGCTTTTTTTCTAACGCTAAATGTACTAGGCACAAAAGCGTTGTGGGGTTTTGCTATGCGAGAAGGGTTGATACCTCCTCTTAACCCCTCTTTTCGAGGCCCAATAACTGTCGGACGGCCTCCAATGGGAAAGCAGGCCGCGTATGCAGCTGCAAGGAAACGAGTGCCCTCGCCAACCCTCTTGTCTGGTGCAGTGGAAGATGACACGGTGGCGGCGGGTACAGATCAAGGGGGCGGCTTGGAGAAACCTGTTACGGCGGATACAGAACAAGGGGACGCCGAGGAGGAGACTGTGCCGGCGGATACAGAACAAGGGGGGGCCGAGGAAGAGACTGTGGCGGCGGATACCGAACAAATTGATGCCATGCAGCTAACTGCGCCGGCAGATACGGAACCGACTGCGGCGGCATATACAGAGCACGGTGATGACGTCGAAGGTAGTGTGACGGCTCCTACAGAACAAGGATGTGGCGAGGTTGCGACCAGTTGGACCGGTCTGGATGTGTTCGATTACCCACACTTTATCGACGCGATGAGATCTGAAAGCTTGTTTGGGCCTGTTGATGCGGACGATGTGAACATAGCTGACCATAGCCTGGCGCCTCCAGAAGACGTTGAGTCTGTTAGAGATCCTGTCGATGCTCCTGGGGACCTATCCGAATTATACGAAAGCGAGGTGGAATCAGATGACGAGTTTGAAGACGACAGCAGCGAATTTGCACAAGATGATATTGCTATGCGCACGATGGCTGCTTCTGGTTGGGAGATCTATGATCAAAACCATTGTGGTAAGATAGCATCATACAGAGTACTTTCAGCTGCATCTTTATATGCTGTGCCTGGTAGTTTTTCTAATATGTTTGTAATTCTGTATAATCCGGAGTACAGGCGACCTACAGCTTGATGAAGCAACCGACTTATACAACGGAACGTGGGGGCCCACCAGGTCTGCCGCAGCCTTCGCCAGCTCGCCGCTGGGTATGTTTTTCTACTTTCTCCCTAAGAAGTTGTGGTTTCACATTGCGAAGGAGTCCGAGGCGTATCGTATCGAGTGTATACCAAGTGTCGCTGCCGCCCAGCGTGCTAAGCAGCTCGAGGCTAGCGCAAAGGACCCCACGAAGACAGTACAACCAGCAGAATCATTGGTGGAGAAGCTGACGAAGACAAGATCCATAAAGGCTCACGAAATTTTGCACGTGGTGGGTCTGCTGATAGCGCGGTCGTTGTGCAGTCACACGGATGGCCTCGACAAGCACTGGCGGACACAGGAGGATGGAGCGATACCCCGAGGAACGTTCAACAGATACATGTCTCGGGATCGTTTTAGTACCATCATGAGATACCTTCACTTTCAGAGCTCAGCCGTGGGCGCTGCTACGATTGACAAGGCTTGGAAGGTGCGACCTGTATTGCAGACACTGGAGAAGACGTTTCGCCGAGGGTATCGACTTGGAGCGCGCATTAGCTTCGACGAGGGGACCATTCCTAACCGAAGTAAGTTCAATCCGGTGCGCGTCTACAACAAGGACAAACCGCACAAGTACGGGACGAAGGTGTACATGACCTGCTGTGCGGAATCCGGGTATTGTTCTCGGTGCGTATTCTCTTTTTACTCTGTACGATACAGCATTGGCTACGCTGATTAGCTTGTTCCGGATGGTAGAATGGCATGTTCTGTCGGACACGGAGTTAGCTGACTATTGTGCTTGGTGTTCTGTATGCCTCAGCATTGAAGTGTACATGGGTGCCTCGGACGAGTCGAAGAACGCGCAGACTCCTGCAGAGCGAAAAGTAGCCAAGTATAAAGCGAAGGGAGTCGCGCAGAAAGCTGTCATTCGCAACGTCTGTAAAGCTCTGGATGGGCAGCAGGGAAAACGTCTTATAATTGCGGATAACTTCTACTCATCGTGCGCACTCGCGATCGCGCTGATGGAGAAAGGGTATTACTACGTCGGGCACCGAAGCGACCGTCTCGGGTAACCAGCTGGATTCGCGTTCACACAGAAAAAGCGGCCCGTGTCGATGCCCCGAGAAACTTATCGTATTGCCTAGTCGAAGGATCACCCTGACCTGGTTGCTGTGTCTTGGATGGACTCAAAACCTGTGAATCTAATTGCTACCGGTTGTGCAACCACGGCTACCACCGTCACCAGAAAGGAGAAGGGATCCGCGATATCTCAAGTGGTGCCATGTCCTAAGTTACTTGCCGATTATCATAGTGGAATGGGGGGCGTCGACCGGCACGACCAGTTACGTCTCCAGAGGTATTCAATCCAGCGATGCGTTGCCTTCAAGAAGTATTACCGGCAGCTCTTTCTCGGGCTCGTCGACATGGCCATCGTGAACGGCTTCATCGTGCATAAGATAAAAATGCGAAAAGATGGCAAACCAGTACCAAGTCATGCAGAGTACATGCGTCTCTTACATGTCGAGTTATTAGCACTCACCGCGACAAGTTTGGCTAGTAATAAGCAAGCAGAAGACTTGGCCTCGAACCCACTGCCTCGACCCGAGCACCAACTACAAGAGCAAGAGAGAAAATACAAGGACAAGCGACGTCAGCACCTATGCAAGGTTTGTTCTGCTATGGCTCCACCAAAAACCAAAGGGTTTGAGAGCCGTTTTTTCTGCGAGGCCTGTGAGGAGCTGCACGATGGATATGTCCCCCTCTGCAACTGCGTGCGCCGAAAAGAAGCAGGAAACCGACTCACATGCGATCAAATTTGGCATGACTCTTGGGCAAACGGCACTGCCATACCTGCTCACCTGAGGAAGAATATTAGATTCCGTAAGCGTAAAACGCAGCGAAGATGCATGAGAGCATGCCGAGGTTAGTTAGCGAAGTATTAGTTTCTAATGCCGCATTGAAATAAATACCTCCTTCTCCCTGTCAGCAGTTCTATGCGTTCCCACACCAACATTTCGGCCAAGTTTTAGCCTAGTTCTTCTTCACTTCCGTCTAGTCTAGAACTGGCCGAAAAGTTGGTGTGGGAACGCGCCGACGCGCCGACAACCTTTGGCGCGACCAGTCATTCTGGCACCAAAACCGTTTTGCTATCGGATTCCGGGGGATACTGATAATCAAAGTTTTTTTTACAGACATCGTTCGCTGCACATCATTTCTAAGCCAATAAAAATAGAGATATCGTACAGATGGTGGGTACATTGTTGCATTTATGGCAACCAAAACATCACCTATGTCCCAATTCACAGCGTCTACGACACTGCGCATGCCGAACGGCTTGCAACGGATTAATTTTACCGAGCTAACAGCAATACGTTAATCAAGTCAAACAATTGTTCTGTATAATACACACGCGACATAGCATTTCGTCTTGTAATGATTGCAGTATATTGTGATATAATATTAAGTTTCCGTGTGCTATCATTTCAAAATTCTGACCTCCAGTTCGGGCTACATGGGTTAACCTCGAGAACCATTTTCTCGAGGTTTTACCGCCTCGCAATAAATCGGGGGAACCTTGGTTTGTCGTTCCAGCTGAGCGTCTTCCTTTAACTAAGCCCAAATTGACCAACACCATAATTTGCCACGTGATATTCCGTATAAGATGAATGGACCACCAACAAACAATTTGCAAGTTAAATTGCCGAAAAAAAGCTGTCACAAATCACAAATTTGAATCATGTAGCAATAATTTTGAGAATCACTTTGACATTTTACCATTTAATTTCATCTGAAATCGAAAATGCAGCTACGCATCTTGACGTTTAACTTGTTTTTCGACGAGGTGGCGCGCTCTGCGCGCATGAAAGCCATCGGGCGGTTGGTGGAGCATTTCCGTCCCGCTGTTATCGGGTTCCAGGAGGTCACGCGCGACGCTCTGGCGATGCTCAAGGGGCAGCAATGGGCCAAGTTTTATGATTGCAGTGTGGACACTGCGCCCCCATTTCAAGAGACCTATTTCGTAGCCCTTTTCAGTGCCCTACCAGTCAAATCGCTAGAAACTTACCCATTTTCAAACTCCGGGATGGGGCGAGAATTGGTGATAATGCAAGTTGAGCCCATTCCAGGCAAGACTCTTTTCGTGGGGACGTCCCATTTAGAGAGTTTGCCTCAATTTGCAGGACCCCGAGTGGCTCAATTAAAGGAGAGCTTAACGTTGCTACGGGACAGAGTGAACAATGCTGATAGCGACGAGGTGGTGACAATTGGGAACAAGAGGCGCAGCTCCGACAGTGTCTGTTTGGGTGCACTGTTCATGGGGGATACCAATTTGCTCAAAGCAGATATGAAGTTACTGGATCGGCGTCTAGCAGCCTTCGCTGATGTGGATGTGGAGCTGGCAAAGTCCGGGAGATCCAAATGTCGGACTTGTGAGGAGGCTATCGATAAAGGGGCAGTGCGAGTAGGCAAAATGGCGAAAACTACGGTGGCTGGAGGGAAAGTGATGGAGATCCGAGTGTGGTTCCATGGTAGCTGCTTTCTGAACGCGTCGTCAACAACAGGTGATGAGAAGAAGTTGGTAAAGAGAAAGGGAAGAGAGCTACGAGGAGAACGAGCCCGAGATGACGAGGAGGAAGTAGATTTGGTACGTTGCTGCGGTAAGGAAGGTATTGGTGCTATGATCTCATTTTACGTACTATTGATACAGGCGACGATGGGTCTACCAGGCGGATGGAAGGATCTGTGGCTGTCTGTGCCTGGTAACACAGAGGAGAATGGGTACACTTTCGATGGCACACGCAACTCGTTGGTCACGAGTCGATCATTTCGCAGCCGACTGGATCGCATGTACTTATACTCTGCGCCAAGCGACGAAGCAGCGACGTGTGTGTTCAACGAAATTGTGATTGTTGGTCAGCAGAAGATCGCTGATGGTCTCTGGCCGTCTGATCACTTTGGGCTGCTTAGCACGTTCACAATTCAAGAAGAAGAAAAGAACGATGTAACTGGAAACAGTGGAAAGAAGAAGGCACGTCGAATGGAACCAGGATCGGATACTGGATCGCAACAAACTCCAATTACAATTGATTAACATGTAAGAGAAGTGCCGTTCCCTACATTTGATCATCGTAACAGCAGAAGTAATCAACACAGCAGATAATCACACATGGACATGGATCTGCAAGTACCTTCCTTTATGGGAATCTTCTCGATCATCATGTCAGCCAGTGACCTTCACAGGGGGAAATAGTATAGATTCTTCACCTTTTCCAACACAATTTATCACCGAAAAGTTCTGCACACTGTAAAGTATACGCCTCCAGTTTTTGGAAGTCCCAGAATTGTTTTACCTGAATCGAGCATCAAGTGATACCTTGACAATTCTGAGTTCTGCCTCTCCATTTTTGATCCACCTCATTGAAAATTAGCATCTAATTGATTGGAAGTGGACGACGATTGTGCCTTGTGAGATTATTTTATTTATGGGTCCGAGATGAAGTGTAACCCAAACTTGATCCTGTAAAACTGATTTCTTCGAGCCCATTGAATTATTCTCCAAGGCTTGGCCTCCACAACATAGTACTTTGAGTCTTCAAGCAACACAGACAAGCGTCTTCATCAAGCGGTCCACTACGTGTTTCGATTCAGGACGAAACTCAAGTTTTCTGACCTCTTGATTGTTATTGTTGCAGGATTCAAAACAGAAAAACTACTCTTTCAACCATGAAACATCCTGCTGACAAGATGCAGAGATAGTTATCGACATCTCACCCACGATCCAGGTCGATAACGAAGCTGGATGAATCGCACCACTTCGTTAGCTGGCTGATTCAGAGTACTTAATAGAATGGTGATCAACTTGGCTCATATTTTTTCGCTCATTTGTGGCATCCCCATAATTGAATACTACAACTCTACGGAGCTTCATGGGGCAAAAGCGTACTTTACTCGCATTTCAGACGCCAAATTGTCTCGAACGTCGAAGATGTGATGATGCATGGCGGTGATGGCGTCTTGACTAAGCAAACTGATTCTAAATCACTTGGACATTCTGGATTTCACACTGATCTCCTCTAATCTATAAGCCGAGAATATTGTGTGAATGCGTTGGTGACGCTGTATATAACTAACTATCCGCACAGGAGTCTTTGTTGAACCAGCACGATATTTCAGTTTCGTCGAAAATTGATGTAACCATTTCCGAAATGGTTTACCTGTTTTGGTGAACCATGTTCAATGTAAATTTGTTGCTGACCGTAAAAGATATGTATGCCTAAGCCACAGTACTAAGCGATTATTTGACAAGTTTCCCCTCGTACTTCCATACTTTCGCTGGTGGCGTACATTACGGCTTAGGATATCAAAGCTTTGTGAGCAGCTTCGAGTGCATCTTCGGGGCGGCCATCGTCAAACAGCTTCTTCACTTTGCCAATGGCAGAGTCCCCTCCCCAGCGTCCTGCCTACCACAAGGTATACGCTTCCATTGTCTTGTATCTGTGATCCGTCTTTGGTAGTTTCAGAACATTCGGAACACCGGGATCGCCAACTGTTTCGAAATTAACTCCGGCGATAAGTCCTTGCTCACCCACCTCTGGAACAGGTAGTTCTGCATTTTCTGGGCTAGTTTCTGTAAATCCGGGACACCCATTCATCAGCTGGAAGGTTGCTGCCAGTTGTTCCTCCATTTTTAATGGATGTGCGGCTAGTAGCGTCTCCAAGTCAGTACTTAAACTGCCTCCGACTTTGGTTCTGTAGGTTTTGCAGTATCTGAGCCAGTGAAGGAACAGTGCATCGTCAATGCCGAGTCTAGCGTCATCAAGCAGCAGAATTTTAAAAACTGTCGCTGGATCCACATCGGATTTCAGCCACATTTCGCTGATCCTGTTGCGACCGGCCGACGAACGTAGAACCAAAAGTCTCTGCATCTCGTCAGCAAAACCTGTCATTCCTTTTACTTGTCGAAGAGAGTGGAAAAGTGCACTTAGCTCTGCTTCCGGCTTCGTCTTGTGCAGTATATCGAAGATCCTGCCGTCCGCGAACCAAACAGCCCCTCTCCTAGCATTGTACATATCCACATACTTCACCCACCGCAAGAAAGCTGGGTTATTTTGTCGAGCTTTACGCCAGTCTTTCCGAGCTTTAACTCTTTGAACACAACCTCAGGATTCGTCCGAAGTTTCAACCACATTTTGTTTGCAATGTCGTGGCCGGATGGGCTAATTTTCGCTACACCACCAGCGATCTTCGACAAGGCAGATCTCTCTTCCGCGGCCATACCTCCAATGTTGCTACCGGTAGACCTTAAAAATCTTCTGGAGAGAGCCGCATTATTGCCCGCAACATTAAGGCGCTCCATCGTAGGGCTACTGAGAGCCGCTCTGCATGTAGAGTCAAGGAAGGCTAATATAGCCAGCAAGATGGTACAGTGAAAGCGCATAACTGCCTTGGATGGACGAGTGGTGACTTGAGACCCAATCGCAAAATGATGATGTCCATGCACGTTGGTTGGGTGGCAATGCCACATTACATGATTGGGATTAACTTAAATCAGGGAAAAACCGACTTGTTCCGCTCGGGAATTATTTTTAGAAAGGCTAAAGATTTGGTCCTTGTACTATTTAAATAGTACCTGTACCCAATGAAAAAAAACAGGTACTTAATGCCACAACAGGTATTGCAGCAATACCGCCATACCAAGCTAATAGGCATGGAGGAAGAACGCTACTATTTACTAAATGCTTCCAAAAACCCGGTGAGATCACTGAATTCGTCGTCTGAGTGAAAGAGCTTATTATATTGTTTTTGACAGGATAGCAAATATGGATAAAGCTTTTTTTAACTGACAAGCACTGGCGGTGGATTAGGATAATTCATCGCGAGCCGGTGCATGATGACGTAGATGATCTGCGTGTGCGGTGCATGTCACATGGATACTGTATACTTGTCCACTGGACAAGTACAGTTTTATGTCCAGTATGATTAAAATATGTTTATTGAAAAGGTTTTAAATTAACTCGAACTATTGAGTGGCTAACCCTTTAACACTTTAACAATCTATCGAAAATCTGGACGAACAAAAGAGTTCTCACAGATAAAAAACGTTGCCGAGCAGCCGAAGTATCGGCGTTAGAAATCCGAGTGACCGACTTTGCGACCATACGCACTATACCCAGAAAACGTATCTCCCCGTGCATGACAATACCATGACCAATAAGCTTTTATATCAATTTTGATCTTCGAATGCGGATGGTAGCATCACTACCGTGTATCTGAGGAAACACGTGCTGCGCCTTGATCTCGTTAATTGTGACACAAGTAATTGAAGTGGCGACATTGGAGCCATCGACACTTTTTTTTCTAGACGATCAAGCTTGAGCTCGACGCCTTCGAACCAGTTTGGCCAGCTACGTATCATTGGTTCTGCTCTGACGCCTGAGTTATGGACCACATCAGGTGCCATTGTAGATTGAGCAAAATCCAAATGAACGGGGAGTTGGACCCCGTGACAGATCTGGTCCACTGGAGGGAAGGTCGTTAGAAGCCAGGTTGCGGTATCTATCACTGGTGATTTTAGCATACGCTGCAGCGTTTGTTCTTGAGCAGTAGAACCTCTTCTTGTAGTCGACACGTGTCTTTCTCGAGGTTTGGTATGCGATCATATTGTTTCTGTCAATATCGGTGTTAGCTTAATCGATGCCTCTCTCGTGTTGTTTATTTGGCGTCGCCAGATTTGCGTTGATTGCCATTTCTAACTTTTATCGCTGTGGAGGTTTTTTTAGCCTCGTCGTCAGGTGTGGTGTCTGCTTGTATGTAATTCTGGAACAGGTCTTGATTGCAGACTTGATGACCCCACACAACAACCCCTCCTTGCCTCTCGACCATTCTCAATAACAAAAGCGAATGAATACCTCGATCGGTCAAATGTAAGAAAACACCGAAATTAGGTTGGTTTCAACGTTGCATCACTGGACCGATTGCGTTGTCTCGCAGATGGTGGTATTGTAGTGGGCTCATTGCCGACTCTGGTGAAGAAGATAAAATTGAAAAATGCTCATTGATACCCTGTTGAGGAGAAATGCAGTCCCAAATAGTAGTGGTTCTCACCGTTGGCAGGTAGGTTTGAACTGCCAATCACATCAAACCTTCCTGTCCTAAAACCTACTCGGAAAACTCGGTAGGTTTGGTAAAGAAGTGAGGGTTTCATGTTATTGGTGCAAACGACTAGGAGAAGGTTTGATTTGATTGGTTGTGGCACAACAACATCGCGACCACCAACTTTAGTATTTCATTCTGCCAAAGTGGTTAACAAAAGGTGGAGTGCTGAGGAAGAATATGCTCTTCTCGATTACTTGTCTACACATTTAGATGAGTACACGAAAGGAGTTAAGTCGAAGCTCTACGAAGCTGCTCTTACATTGCTCCCGCAGAAGTCAGCAACGCAAGTTAAGACCAAATGCACGGACCTCGAAAGCACCTACAAAAGCTACAAGACTAAACTCAGTCGCTCTGGGTTTGGTTTGAAAACTACTGATCCTACGTCTATCAAAGGTGCGTTTGCTTGCCAAGCTTTTTTGTTTTGTTGGTCAATTGATGTTGCTACATCGACAGACATGCTACTCAAGAAATGCAAGTACTTCTACGAGATGGACGAAATCTTTGGTTCGAGACACAGCTTGGTCCCCCCGTTTGTGCTAGAGCCGAATGCTGCTGTGCTGAATGGACAGCTTTACACTAGGTCCAACACTACCGTCACGATGCAGACACCAGCCGGCCAGCGAAGAAACCCCAGCTCAATGGAAAGAATTGCACTAGTCATTCGGTCCCTACATTTATAAACAGAACCTTTTGGACACACCATCGTAATAGAATAGTTAGCAATGCCACTAAGACGCCTGTAGTTGTAAGCTTACCTTCCCCAATGCCAAAATGCTGCGCAATGCGATGAATCGTCAAGTCCTGCAGCGCGAAGAGAAAACCCTCCAGCTGAAGTTGGACAGGAGCTTGTTGCTGCTTGCCGGGTACTCGAGCGAAGGCAGTGTGGGCCTCGATGCGTCCCAGCAAAAACACGAAGGTCTGTTTGCTCATGCGTAGGTCGCGGCGAGCACGAACGGCATCAAGCAGAAATATCCGTTCAGGGCTCCATTTCCCAGTTTTGACGACGTCTGAACGACCCAGATAGCGGCTGGAGACTATCGCGCAGTAGAAAATATCGTCTTCGTCTTCGTCGTTCTCGCTTCTCTGGTCACAAAGCAGATAGCTTAGAGCTGAGTGATGTAGATGCAGCAGCAGCGCTGCTCGTAGAGATCGTCCCATTCTCACCTTCAGCGCTCACTTACAATGAAGTCACTCGATGCGACTGTCAGTAAAACCTGCACACGCTGCTCACAGTTGAACGATGAAGGTTTGATTTGATTCGCATACGAAACCTTCATACCTTCTAACCGTGAGAGCCACTACTAGTGGTAGTCTCTACTTCCTAACAAAATGTTTACGATGAATGTAAACATCACATCTGGTGCAGACTCTACTCCCTAACAAAATGTTTACGATGAACGTAAACGTCACATCTGGTACAGAAGATTGTAACGAAACATTGATGACGGAGTGACTGGACAAAAACATCAAATATTACTTTTATTTAGGGTTTGAGATGCACCCAGCCTAAACTCCCAAATATCCTTCCTACAGAGCCGAAAAGGGTTAAGCCATGTCTGCCCCTGGGTTTGAGCCTGAGTGATACACACACGGATCTTAAACGACATACATTTATTCATGTTGTACATCCAGTTTCGTACAGAAGCGAGGAAAACGGCTTCACGTTCCACCTCTAATTTCAGGGATAAGGCCTGTCTACACTCCCAGCTAAAAAGTGTAAATTGCATTGTCTACAAGCTACTCTCCACACTTAAAAGGATTTGTAATACCTGTAATACATGTAGATCATAAAGTAAAAAGAATGTATTTGTGACGGTACAAAATATCACACATCCGTTTTCCCGTGTTCAGCAAAGTTCTTCTCTACATGTAGCAGCTGGTTTCATCTCCTTGAATCACCACCCATCCGCAAGTAAAACTGTTAATATGTTTTTTTGCTGAAGCTGTCTTTCGCCCGGCCTCGCCAGGCCCAAAAACGCCCTCACATAGTGGTCCGAACTACGTTATGCCGCCCAAATCTGAGCTCTCGCCATCTTTTCCATCGTGCTAGCGCTCTTATCGATGAGCTCCGTGGGGTCGTAATAACCAGATCCAAACGTGTTGACGATGTGATTATCAGACGCAATGGCATAGCGCTTGTAGAGCCTAAGCGGATCGATGGACTCGTTCGCCTTTAGCTGAGCAAAAACGTCATCACCCGATGCGCCTTCCTTCATCGATGTGGCGTTAGTAAGGTCAACGTTGTCCCTGTTTAGACCGATACGTGTTGTTTCTTGTAGACACCATATAATTCTTAGCCAGGACAATTGCAGGGCGAATGTCTAGCAGGAGGACCCGGACCTTCAAACGAGAAGTGCCGTGCGGCGTTGGTTGTGGCCTCCACAAGTATATGAAGGCGCCAGGTAAAAACGACTGGTTACTGTAAACTTCACAATCATAAGCCCTGCTCTACAGCTGACCACGCGTTGGATCACGGCTGTGGCGATCCCACAGACATAATACCCCCCACTCCCACTCGAGCATCGATGCATTAGCACTGGTCGTGTTAATGCTAGCAGCTTATGCCAACAGACCTACATCACATCAGGAAGTAGCTAGTCCATGCTAATCGTTATGATCACAGCTAATTACTACTATCGACTACAGGCGAGCTCCAACTTATTGTTCATCTACTCTTCGAAAAAAAGGTAGGAATTTGAGCATCTCTCGACTGCGATCGAGTTTGACACGATCCAGTGCCTTGGTCGTCACATCTGCAACCGTGTCATTCGTTCCGACATGCTCCGTCGCAAGGCGCTTCACCTCAGCGAGATGGCGCACAAAATGGTATTGCTCTTGATGCGCTTCGTCTTTGAATGCTTGCCAGGCTTGACAGCCAGATATATACTTCCACGATTATCACCTAGCAACCCAGGCCCTCCACGTTCCAGCGTAACTGCACACACAGCCCCAACATCCACAAGATACTTGGTGCCCTCGTTCATTGCTACATATGCTGCTTTCGTAGTAATCTGGACACTGATATCTTGCTTATGGGACGTATACAAAACGACGCTACCTTCCAACATCGTAGCGTAGCAACTTATGCTTTTTCAATCTTCAATGTCATTCGAATAGTCTGCATCGTAAAGCAGGTCAGCACCACCCGTGAGCCTCCACCAGCATCGTTAGCGAGCTTATAGTCAGCTGTATGAGCCAGGTAACGGAGCACACGTTTTGCCATAAACTAGTGCGCGTAAGTATAACTGCTACGGAAATTGCCTAAGTTCCGGACGGCGAAAG